TTGAAAATCTGTGTATCACTCTCAGCATCCCAGCTACCGGGGACAAATGAAAAGAATTTTCATTACTATATCAATTCTGTTTCTTTAAAACCTTCCAACATCCCCTGTGATGTGGATATTTTTATCCCCATTTTAAGTACCAGGAAACTAAAGCTAAGGAAAGCATCTAGTAATAAGTGGTATTCAAACATGTCTGACTCCAAGGCCTACGCTCCTCTCCTTTCAACCTGAGTAGAAAATTTCACATTAGTATAAAACAAAGGTTCTCAATGGGGGCGATTTTGCCCCCACCCCAATGTTTGGAGACGTTTCTGGTTGTCACATCTGGGGCAGGGAGGGAAAGTGCTACTGGCCAGAGAAGCTACTAAACATCTACAATGCACAGGAGGGTCCCCATGACAAAGGATTATCCAGCCGGAAAGTGCCAAGGTTGAGGAATTATCGTATAAACAAAACATTCCTCAAAATGTCTTCTTACAGAAGCATTATTACCCCATCCTGTTTTTTTCTGAAATCAATGTTTAGAGTCAATGAAAATAGCTTTAAACCATAACTAGATGCGTATGTATTTAATACATATATGCGTGCACATTTTTAATGCATCTGAAAAACTCTTTGAGTTTGTACTGGAAATTGTGAAATGATCACAGGACTTTGGAGGTTTCAACCCCAAATATTATGTTATATACTGTCATATAAATGCACAGGAGTGGGGAAATATATATGTATGTCTGACATGTTTTCACTGATGTGTAATCGATCTTCATTCTGTGTAACAAAAGATGCGAGGAGGAGGGAAAGGAAACCCTGACTCAGGAAAGCAGGGAGGAACAGCCGAGTGAAGCCTTATAAAGGAGACACTTTTTAAAAAGGCACAATGAAGCCACACCATGAGGCAGGAAACTGCTTTCTTGATTTTATTTTAAAAGTACACAAGGTCACAAAACTAGAGCAAGTTTTTGTTTTTTTAAACAAATTTTGTTCTTACAAACTTAAAAATCTGCACCATTGGATACCTAAGCCAGAAACTTTAAATACAAAATCATTTTTGAAACTGACACTATCAGTTCTCTACTTGTATATGTGAAGTGTCAAAATATTTTTTCTCAGTAGTACAAGTGTATTTATCACAAAAATTCACAGTTAGGGACGAGAATAAGTGAATCAATGAGCTGTGGTTCTCTTAACACATGTGTCAATAAATAAGTTAGCAGAAATCAGAGAGTTCTTCCTGGATTAAAGCTTTTAGTCTTCATGACCAAAACCAAACCCAACTGATATTCACCATGCTCTTAAATTACAAAACAGAGTATTTTGTAAAATTTGATTTTAATTAATAGTAAGAGGCTAGATGAAGCAAATTATTTGCTGGTGTTACCATCCATAAGATAAACAGAACCACAATTCATAGATTTATTTATTATTCTTCCCTGCTTCTATAATATTTATGAGTAAAACTTGTGCTCAGTTATGAACCATTTTAGTGTCAAAATAGGCAAACAAGTAAAAAATCCAACCGCAGAACATGTTGCCTTTATTGCAAGAATATCCAAAGGCATTTGAAATATTAAAACTTGCCCAGAACATTTACACTACTAAACACAGGAATATTATAAAGATATATGTACATATATATAATATGTAATGTCACAAGCCACTAAGAAGTTAAAATTGTGCCAACATTTTCTACAAACTACTCCTTACATGACACATCAAAGCATTAACCACATAAAATATGGACTTTTTCTGTTCACGCTAGAGTAAGGCATGTGAAAGCCCTAAACACTGTGGAGATGAAGAGAGATTAGAAAAAAACTTTAAACATTCACATAACTTCAAATTTACATGCTGCACACACATAAAAAGACAGAGAATAGTTATTTCAAGAAGCCATGCATTACAGAATTTGATATCCAACTTCATGCAATGGGTTCTCTTTATATTTAATCAAAATGTTTACTGCCCCCTTCACTTTCTTTGAATTTCCAGAACTCAATCTTAAAAATTATCTTTGTAATGAAAATCAGGTATTTCTTCATATCCATAATCTAATTGTGTTTCTTGAATTAACCTCCCCTAAGACACACTCAGGCTGTGTTTCCACTGTAACAACTCCACGGCAGATAACCCAAATTTAAAGGAAGTTATTTGCCCTGGAATAACTGGTCAGTGTAATCAATAAAGAGATTTTTTTTTTGGCCTTCTAACGGGAATATTAGTAAGACTGCTAATAAGAAAAAGAACACCTATAAACTACTATATTCAAAGCAGAGAACTACATCCTCTACAGCATTTCTTTTCAAGTTATCTTGCATAACTCAAAAAGACGGTGTCAAGTCTCACAGGTGTAAAGTGGAATCAAATGGTTTTGCTTCGAAGATGCAGTTCCATCCTTGACTGATGCTGTTCGGCTTGCTAAGGGAAATGCCTGAATAACAATTTTTTGTTGAATTGTTTGATCGTTACCAATAGTAATTCTAGTACAAATATTTGATCTCTGGCTCAACTGAAATGATGACTGAGAATTACTGGGGAAGTTAGTACTATCTGACCTTTGGATTAACTGAAGCTTACAATGGAGTCACAAGAAAAATAGGCCTAAAATTGAATTCTGTCCTCTAAACTCAATCACACCCTGTAGGTCTCCGAAGGTCACATAACCCATTCTAACAATCTCCCATCTCAGGCTGTGGTTGGTATGGACCTGAACTCAAAGTGCTTCTAGGAGAGATTCTGATTTACTTATAGCCAACCTAGACTAGAAAATCTCACGGATGTCCACCTTTTCTAGTAATTCCTACTTAGACTGATAGCATAATCTTCATTTTATGGAAATCAGGAATAGGCAAGACCAAAAATTTTTTATCATTAAAGTTTGTGATCTGTTATTTACTCTTATAATATCTTATAAATGTTATTCATATAAAACAGGCCAGACATCCAGCATTCAAAAACAGCTACTGTTATAAAATCAGAAACACAAAGAGTGTCGGGGATGTTGAAATTTTAAAATCTTTATGAAGACCACAAACAGTTAAGTTGCATCCAAAAAGAACAGAGAAGAGGAGGCAAGACTGGAAGTGTGAGGACAGAAGGGAGTCACAGTGATGCGTTGTCAGGAACAGTACCTTCACCTCTAAGCACCTTTCAGGCGATAGCTAGCTCATAGGCACCAGAACTTCGTAATACAAACTAAATTATCCAAAAGGCACAGATGAAAATGTTAACACAGTAGAAAAGCAATATTATGTAAGGTTAAAACTTACTTTAAAAAATGCTTCCAAATATGTAAAACGATACACTAATCCATTACACATTCAGCTTAAATTTACCATTAGAAGTGCACACAATACTCTGCCTAGTCATAAATTCATGCCAACATTACTTTATAATGTAGCATTTACCACCACAGCACCCAAAAAGATCAAGAGAAACCAAGTCCCTACTAAAATCTAGGGAAAAGGTTTTAGAGCTACTAAAATATTTATTGCAGACCTCATTTACTATAAAGAAACTGTTGGCTCATTCTACTATATCCACACTCCCTCAGTCTTAAGGGAAACACAATAAACTCACTTTCTTCCACTAAAACAGTATTTAACACATTTGGCAGTTAGGAGTATTCCTTTAACTCCATTTGCTTTCATTTCTTTCTTTTTATTTTTAAAGAATAAATCACTTTCACAAAACTAAGACTCAAACTTCTCAAAGCTCAACTTGATTTTCTGCAACTATACAAAGACATGTTGGCCATACAACAGCAACTGCACATCCTCCCAAGTCTGAAATACAGAAGCAATGGAGGACACTTACTAGTTTAAACTCTGTTTCATCATTCTGAGTCTATGAAGAAAACATCCTCCAGGAACTGCATTCAGGAGAGTAAATTTAGGAACTACGTTTTGAGAATACATAATTTGCAACACTATCCAAAAAAAAAAAAAAAAAACATTTAAAATTTGGAATCAATAATTAGGGAATTTCCATCTGTAATTGTCAAATAATAAATGAGTTATAATTTTTTCTTATTAGAAAAATATCACCTAAAGTGGAGGGGCAGTATTTAGCTGGGAACTGTACAATACTCTATATTTGATCTGGCGGGTCATGGTTCGGAAGACCACCAGAGGCCCCGAGGCATCAGCTCACTTATCAACAAAATCCACCCTCGCTACCTCACCACTAGTGTCATCACTGGAGGTAGCTGATAGCAAACTTTCTAAATAAATCTGATAGATGCTCATTTATTTTAGCATATAAAAGAGCTATGTCCCTGTTGCCTGTAGCAGTCTATCAATTAAATACTTAAATCATTTCATAGACAAGGTTTATGAATGACTCCGAAGTAAAACTAATAATTTCTAGAACACTGTAGTGTTTTCTATGTTATTAGAGCTATTCTCAACACATTTAGAGTTTTCAAAGAAGCTATAAAAACAAGAACAAACATAAATGTATATAAGTATTTTGCCATGAATGTTTCTGTGCCAGTTTTGGGGGGACTACCGGGTCATAAATTAATTGACAAAGGCATCCTAAAAATAACGGCAGAAATTATAAAGTACCACTTTCAGATGCTTCAAGTATCAACTTGGTGTGCATGTGAGTTCACCAATTTCCTCACCTATGATTTCATATTCAAAGTGCTACATCTTACTTAAGTATTGATATTTAGAAACCTATAAAATTGACCTCTTAAAGGAAATCTTTTTCAGATGGTGAATTTCTCTTTAGTAACTTTAATGCCTTTACTATTCAATATAACCAAACAAAACTTCTGAAGTATAGTTCTTACAGTTTCTGCTTAACGTCTTTTTGATACATTATGAGGCTGGTAACAAAATTTAGAACAGAACAGGTTTTCATGTTTCAAGAGAAGAGAGGAAACTCGGAGAGCAGAGATGAAAGGTGCAGAGGCTCTATACTATAGACCCGTCCTTGCTCTGTGCTGGAATCATCACCGGCACCGCTCCCATCCTACTCAGATTAGGGGCAGCTACCTTAGCAGGTGGGAGAGTTGGACTCTGAGGAGCGCGTTCAAAGTCTTCGCTTGGTACTTGGTTGTATTGAGTCTTGGAATATCCTTCCATGTTGGAAGGGGACATGGACCCCAGGGATGAGTGATTGCTGCCGATGTAGCTCCTGGCAGTGGACGTACGGCTCTTTGGCGGCGGCACGTCTTCCCTAGAAAGCAAAGATCCCAATACAAATTTAAAGAACAAGTTTCTTTTTTTTTTTTGGTGAGGAAGATTAGCCCTGAGCTAATATCCATGCTAATCCTCCTCTTTTTGCTGAGGAAGACCGAGTCTGAGCTAACACCTATTGCCAATCCTCCTCCTTTTTTTTCCCCAAAGCCCCAGTAGATAGTTGTATGTCATAATTGCACATCCTTCTAGTCGCTGTATGTGGGACATGGCCTCAGCATGGCTGGAGAAGCGGTGCCTTGGTGCGCGCCCGGGATCCGAACCCAGGCTGCCAGTAGTGGAGTGCGCGCACTTAACCACTAAGCCACGGGGCTGGCCCCCAAAGAACAAGTTTCTAAAAACCTACAATCATCTAAGCTATGAATCATGGGTGGCAGTGAGGGAAGATCCTCTATTTAAGCATTAAGTACATAAAAGTGTGTGTGACAAAAAAAGCAAGCACGATAAAGCACAATATCGTGAACTGTGTATCTGTCCCAAATTTATCACTTATAGAGTGTGTATCTTCACACATGATGAATGTGGTTTTCACAAAAATTTGTGATTCTATAAATGTCTTACAAGGAATAAATCTCAAATATCTTCATATTCTAGTATCACTGATCAGGATAATCTAGTTATAGTCATGTAACACCTTATAGTTGATAAAGCGTTAACACCTACAGATATATTTCCACCAAAAAAAAAAAAAGAAAGAAAAAGAAAAAAATCTTTTTTGTTATGAAAGTTACTTATCTAAGACCTTAGCTGAAAACTTAGCCGATTTAAGTTTGCAAAAACTGGGAATTTTGGCATAAGAATTTTCACACCAAGCATTAACAAAAAATATATATCTCAGTTACCTTTGGTGGATTTTAAAAATACAAGTGCCCAGATCCCATCTTAGATCTACCAAATGTCAATTTCCTGGGTGTTATTTAAGTCATTTGTTATTATTTTTGAAAGTTCTATAATCCAATGTACAATTCTAGTTAAGATATACTGGTTTAGAAAATTCTAAAAAATAAAATCACATTACCAATAGTTCCATCAACTACCTATGTCACTTAAAACAATCAGGTCTTTTATTTTAAACCTTAACATCTGCTCCATTTTTTGAAAACTTCATGCCTGGACTTTATTGGGACAAGGCATAGTCCTGAGATAAGCATTTTGCAGTGGTTTTCAAAATGGGGTGCAAAATGGCGTGGCGGGGGGAGGGCATGATGGAGGTTGGCTGGATCTGCACACTTGAAATTGAAAGTAGAAGCTTTCAAACGTCTTGAGAAGAGCTATAGCCTTATCCAGTTCTCATGGGGGTAAATGCTGCAGATGGTTAAGAGATTAATGCTCTAGAGACATAACAAATTTAGTATACATCAGTCAACTCTTATGTCACTTAGTTACCTGATATCATGCTGAACTTCCTTTTCATATTTTTCTTCTCTGCGCTTTTTGTGACAGCAAAACATGATAAGACCAATGAGCACTAGAGCAAGCAAAGTTCCTATAACAGCCCCAGCAATTGTTCCAGCTCTGTTTGAAGCTAGAATAAGATGTTAATAAGAAAATAATTAATAGTAAAAAAAATTCTGTATTTACTCATATTGAAGGTAAGGACACACATTGACAAGACTGATTTCATTGCATATATTAACTTTAAGAGACAAATTAACTAGCTTTTTTTGGTTCAGGGGAAAATCCACTAAAAGAACTTTCTTCTGAACTTCGTAATTTCAAGCATAAAAATGATAAAACCAGACTAAAAAATTTTAACATTCACAGCCATCTTGGTTGGCCTATAAGAATGTTCTAAACAGCTTGTACTTATAATGGCTAAATATGGTGCAAGAGTTGATTTGATAACTCTCACCTTCTTAATGTTGCTAGAATAATAAAGAAGGTTTTATGAATAAAATGTAGTGTTCTTTTCCTTTCCATGACTTATGCAAGCTAATAACCAAGCCACAGAGCGCTCTGCTCAAAGTTAGCATCCCCTTCCCTCAACATGCACTTGCTGCCTGAACCAAAGGAGGTTGTACAAAAGCAAGGAAAACAACAGGATCATAATAGACAGACAGAAGACACTTACGAGGCACGACGTCCAGGCGCAGCAGGCACTGATCAGAGCCCACTCTGTTTTGGACTGTACAGCTGTATGTCCCAGAATACTCAGTACTGGCATTTTTTACAGTTATAACAGGTGAAGTCATTTCTATGGGAAGAAAAGGAGGGGAAAGAGCAAAGCCCAGTTTTACAGTATTGTATTGCTGGGTTTTTAGTTAAGGCAAACCCTACTAAGTTTGACAATCCAGGTAAAAGTGAGACAGAATGAAGCTGGGTGCAGAACAAACTGCCAGGGAGACACATGCGTGTCTCCAGAAGGCAAACAACTGTGCCTCCAGTTCATCTGTATCCATGCGAAAGTAACCATGGCTGCCTTAGTCAGGCAGGGTCTCAGCCGAAGCAGAGCCACAGTGATCACGGACAATATCCCATGCCACAAATGCTCTTTGGTGCAGCAGGAAGACTTGTAAAACCTATTTCATCCCCCCAGATGGAAGAAACATACAAAAGCAAGTCAGAAGGGGTTATATAGCCTGGCCTCTTAGTATAAAAAAAGAAAGAGAAGTGGAGAGAAATCCTACTTAAGACCTGGGTAGGCAGCGTGGAGCTTGGTAATCAGTTTGAATAACAAGACAATTATAACAAAAGGTAAGTGATCAGATTTAACCAATGTGTAACTTTCTAGTTAGTGTCACACAGGTGTTTTTTTGTTTTACAGACACACCATGGGTAAATCACCAAATCTTCAACATGAATCTCAGCAAAGCACTCAAGATCCAGCTGTTGGTATAACTTAGCCACTACTAATTTATGATCATGAACATTTTCCATCAGTATTATCATAAATTAAAAAGTATATACCAGGGCCAGCCCCGGTGGCCTAGTGGTTAAGTTCAGCTCGTTCCGCTTTGGGGGCCCAGGTTCGGTTCCCAGGCACAGATCTACACCACTCGTCTGTCAGTGGCCAAGCTCTGGTGGCGGCTCACGAACAAAAACCAGAAGATTGGCAGTGGATGTTAGCTCAGGGCGAACCTTCCTCAGCAAAAATACCAAAGAAACAAATTATAATATCCTAAACAGTGACATCGTTATAAAAATATCTCTTCATGTATACTACATGACACTAAGTTGTCATTATAAAATGCTGAATAATTCCCATGGAATCCTGACTGTTCTGTATAAAAAAGGGAAGGTATTTGGGAATTAAATACATGTACATACACACAACCCTACTAGATTTAACCCCAAATCAACAGCACATGGTACAAATTGTATAATCAGCAGTACCTGGTAACCACGAGGTGGGCAGCTTCCGTGAGTCAGACAGTTTTTGCCATTCATAGCGTAATGGAAGTGAACCTTCTTTGGATTCACATTTTAGTTTAAAGTCACTTCCAATTTCTTCTGATCCATCAATGTAACATTTTGTGCTCGAAGGCTTAACTGAGAAAAGAAAATAAATTATAACGTTATAAAGAGAATAGAATTTGTTTACGATGATTACTGAAACACACAGCATGCTGCACTTGGGTCCAGAGTTGACAAGACTGAAAGACTACAATAGGTTGCCAAAACCAGTTGACTCAGCTTTATCCAACACAAAACAGGCAAGAATAAGCTCAGGCAAGCAGCCATTCATAAGGAGGTCTGGCAGCATCTCAGGTGCAGCTCTGTGCCCCTCCACTCCAAGGAAAAGAGAGGATGATGCAGGCTGGGCCACTTCAGACTCAAGGAAGCTTTCCTCCCTCCATTCATTACCTATCCTTCTCAGTGCTTGACATGAAGCCCTCTGGGAGTATGTGCGATGTCACATCCCTCTGGGTGCTGTAACCCTGCCAATCAGGCGGTTTATAATAAATAATGCTGATAACAGGGACAATTTGCTTACTGCAGCAAGGACCAATTAACCTTCTGCATTTACATTAACCCAAAACCATCCACAGAGCACTGTTATAAAAAGGTCAATCTAAGGTTATATTCTAGGTTCCTGTGGGGAACTATTTAGAGCAGCTGCTAACCCCATTACTTGCAACTCACCCCAACAATGGATTAACACCATGGCGTTTCATACTCTTCTGCTGAACTTCATTAAGGCATAATATACATACAATTAACATATTTTAATCGAAGGTTGATCATTTTAACAAATGTGTATATACACACACTCGGTGAGCACCACTCCAATCTTCTCCCAAGCAAGTCCCCTAAGGGGATGTGGTCATCTGAGGCCACAACCCTGGCCCCATGCAGCCACTGATCAGATTTCTATCACTATAGAATAGTTCTGCTTCCTAAAGTCATATAAATCGATTAATATAGTATGTACTTTTTTGTCTTGCTTCTTTTATTCATTGTAAGGCTTCTGAGATGGGTCCATGTTGTTGGATAGATCAATAGTTCATTCTTTTTTATTGCTGAATTGTAGTCCATGGACTGACTATAACATAAACTTGCTTATCCATTCATCTGTTGATGAACACTGTTTCCAGTTTTTGGGCTACTGTTAAAGCCTAATTAGCTAAACTGAACAGGAGCAAGTGTGGAGTCTGTCAAAATCAGACTGACTGAGCAGTGAGGAAGACACTGTGAGGAGCTGTGGAATGGCACTGGACAAGAGAGTAGGGATTCTGAAGGATTCTTTTTTTTTAAATTATTTTATTGAGGTCATATTGGTTTACAACATTGTGTAATTTCAGATATACATTGTTATATATCAGTCTTTGTATAGACTGCATCATGTTTATCACCAGGTCTAGTTTTTATCCATCACCACACATATGTGCCCCTTTCCCCCTCCCCCACCCCCTTCCTCTCTGGTAACCACTAATCTGTTCTGCTTATCCATGTGTTTGATTATCTTCCACATATGAGTGAAATCATATGGTATTTGTCTTTCTCTGTTTGGCTTATTTCGCTTAGCATAATACCCTCAAGGTCCATCCATGTTGCAAATGGCACAATTTTGTTGTTTTTATGGCTGAGTAGTATTCCATTGTGTATATATACCACATCTTCTTCATCCATTCATCCATTGATGGGCACTTGGGCTGCTTCCACATCTTGGCTATTGTGAATAATGCGATGAACACATGGATGCAGAAATCTCTCTGAATTGTTGATTTCATGTTGAAGGATTCTGAGGAGAGTCTAAGAGAAACGGAGACCAGTTCTGAATTGGATGCTGTTTCTGAGGCAGGACTAGGAGAAGCAAGGATTAAACTGGAGCTGAGGGCCGTTTAGCAACTGAGTCTCCTCTGCAAAGGAGAGTAACGCAGAGTGGGGGCAACACTGGGGAGACAGCAGCAGTCTCTAGTTCCTGCTGCTCCAGGACCTTGGGAGAAGCAGCGCTTCCTGTAAACCCTGCAGCTGGCTTCATATCATATGTCCTCTCAGCCTGAGAAACAGCAGGACTCCTTTTTTCTTTTTTAGTCTGAGCTGATTTTCATTCTTTCAGTCCTGGATGGGCTTTTATTCTTTCACTACTACAAATACATGTGAATGGATTTTACAGTTTTGTGTTATTATGAACAGCACTGCTTGAACACTCATGTAAACTGGTATATGTTTTCCTTTTGCGTGGTAATTGCTGGGTCATACATGATTAAGTGTACATTTACCTCTATAAAAAACTGTCAAACTGTTTTCCTAAATTGGCCAACAGGATCTGTGATATCCAGGGGCCATCTTTAACTAAGGTTGTCAATCATGATTTCACTTCTTCACACGTTTCTTGATAATACTAAAGATTGATTGTATTTCTCCCCTTCATCTGTTACTACTTGTGCTTTTTAGTAAGAATCAACAGATGCATTTAAATGCATTGTTTATTTTCCTAAGTGAACCTGTTTCTTTTTCAGATTGATCGACTGCCCCAGAGACTACAGCAATTGGACTTGTAAATCAGTTTTGCAAATTATTTCATCCTGTCAGTCTTCAACAAAATGAGGCTGTTCTTCATTTCTTCAAACTACCAACAAATCTTTTATTACATCAATTAGCAGTAAGTGAGATAGTAAAGCAGTGCTTTGTACATCAAACATCTACTGAACACTGTATTCTAATGCTCATCTTTTCTACTGAAAATGTCCCCTTCCCATATTCCAAACATATCTAATAATGGGCACTTACTTAAAGTGGCTACTCAGGAAATTCAGGGCCCCACTGAGTTTGAGATCTCAACATACTCCATCCACCCACAATAGAACAAGATTTTACCAACACTGGTTTCTTAGTGTCACTTTGGAGTGGCCTTCTACCAGGAGAAGAAAATGCAAGTCTTTTACATGCCAACCCCCAACCATTATACCACAGGAAGAGTAACTCTTAATCCATGGCACTCTTGCTGGTTTGAAAGAAAGATAAAACCACAAAGGGAACACAGATAAAGTCTTGTCCTCTACTGTTTCTCTGGTCTGAGGTTCCAGGATACTTGGCCACTGTCCTCGGAACATTTACCTCCATGATCATTAACAAGTCAACAGTCCTTCCCAGGTAAGGTACATGACCATCAACTTGTACTTGGCCAACGCCCCAACATTTAGTAATGCTGTGCTCCATTCACGTATTGCATCATCATCCCTCCATGCTAGTAGCCTACCTCAGTCTATAGGAAACACACTCTAAATCCCTATTTGGGACAGGATATACTTTTATCATCATGTCATCCATTAAGGAATGCTATTTCTACTTGGTTCAAAATACCCTGACTCCAGGCAAAATCCATCCATAGATGCTAAAAATCAATGGGCAAAAGTTTGAGGAGACACAAAATATTTGCATAGTCTCAAAGTGGCTCCCCCAAGACATTTTTTAATTACAGAAAGAAAAATTGTAATTTTATAGGGGAAAAACCCATCAAATAAAACTTAAACCAAGTGATCATGATTCACAATGAGACATGACATCATGTGCCCCTTGACACGACTGGAGGAAACCACGGAGATGTAAATGCACTGTGGATCTTAGACTAGATCCTAGCACAAAAGGACATTAGTGGAAAATTGTGCAATTCGAAATAGGTCTATAGTTTAGTTAATAGTATTGCCCAACACTAATTTCTTGGTTTTGATAACTGTACTATGATTTTGTAAAATGTTAACAATATTACAAAGTTGATGATGTGTATACTCTCGGGAACTCTCTAGTATTTTTGCACCTTTTCTGTAAAACTAAAATTATTTCAAAATAAAAAGTGAAAAAGAAAAAGGAAAAGCTCTGCTCTGTACCAACGGCTTGCAAATCCTTCAGGCCCCGAGCTGAGTGAGCGATCACACATGCTGCTCCCACCATGTTCTAGTGGTATGGGTGAACTGTGAGTGCACCACATCATCCAGGAAACTTTTAATGGTGCTTGTGCAACTCTTCAAGACAACCCGGTCTGTTTATACCAAAAGGTCTCAATAATAGGCCCTTTCAGAGTTCCGGGGGAAGGGGCTGGTGATAGGTGGCCACCATATTAACCCTCTATCAATTCCCTTTGTTAGCATCCCTTGCTTTCAGCTTCTTTATTGAGCTGCATCCACATGCACTTTGGGTGCATCTGATGGAATGGGGCAGGTGCCGGCAATGCGGCAAGCTATGGTATCACATCACCCCTCACACCCAGGCAACTAACAGCGTCATCCCAGTTCATGTCCACACAGCACAAGGGGCTCAATGAATGAACTCTCACTACTCTATGAACACCATGCTGGCATCTTCTCCAGATTTCCCACCAACAAATCAAGGTATTAGGCAGGCAGAGCCTCTAAGAGTGAACCAAGTGAGAGCTCCACTGGACCATCACTCATTCGGGTCCCTAAAGGGCACTTCATTACATCTTTCCTACAGATTCTCCAAGCAGAATTTTCAGACAAAGCTAACAGATACACTTCCATCCAACACTCACTTTCAAGAGAAAATTCTAGTGGTTTCTCCCAGCAGCAGTCATGACTCATCCGAAAACAGGGAAGAAAGAGCTACAAGAAATTCTCCTCTGGCTCTGAGACAGCCTTGCCGATTAGAGTATTAGTCATCCCCACTTCCCTTCAGCAATCACTTCCCCCTTTCTCCTCCTACTCCCTATTAAGGCCCTCGCTCTCTCCCTGGTTTGAATTCACAGCTAGCTTGGCCATGGTGATCCCCCACAGAGCTAACAAAAGGAGTTACTGTGTCAGTACTTCTCACTCCTCAATCCTGAGCAATGAGAAGTTGGGGTTGTGAGGTTTAATGTCAAAGGGACATTCCTCCCACCTGGCAGTCATGGCTTCTGCCATGAGTGTGCTTAGCCACATTATGTGCCAACACTACTGGCCAACTCAAGTTCCTTCTGGGATATATGCTGCTGTTTGCTATAATGCTCCCTTCAGTCAGGACCTGCAAATTCAATCCAGAACCTGGTCCTATGGGATCACTCACTCACTCACTCACACACACACTCTCAAAGTGTGCTTGTCTACACCTCT